CCTCTCGGCTGTCCCCGGGTGCCACCGCGGGGAGCCCCCGGGTGCAGCCCCAGCTCCCGGCTCCTCGGGGCCTCACCGAAAAAGCGGGCGCTGCTTGTCCCGCGGTGAAATGGAGACACTCCATAAGGGTCTGTAAGGATAACGTGCAAGAGAGGCTGCTGCTCCACACCCGATAGATCTATTTTCTAGTAGAGACTGGCGGTACTTAGTATTTGTGGTAAATTTATTAACACGAGTAATAAGTTGTGACTTCAATAGCACTTTCCATCGATTTCATCTGTTTCAGATAGGTCACACTGAGTCTTTTCACACATAAACGGAAATTTCAGCTGTAGGTAGGAGGAAATTATTCTAATTATATCCCTTATACCCAGTAGTTAAAGCAAGCCAGAAGTATTTCTCTTGTGTTTGCCTCTGACAAGCTCTGCGTGGTGTGGAGCTACCTGGATTTTGTTGTGTCTTGGATACCATTGACAGAATGATTAACAAAGTATTGATTTAAAGCTTTCGGTGAGGAAGAGGCAGGAAAAGGAACCAGGAGGCAAAGTTACGGACTGCACTAGCAGCTTGTTTAACATCTCCAGTGTGTTTTACTGTGTTCACCAACTATGTGAACCCTTGCAAACAAACTGTTTTGTCTTTCCGTAATACGAAAGGGCTGTGAAACTAGTCCCACTAGCATCAGAAGGAAGAAGGGTCACAGCAGTATGCTGATAAAGGCACTTTGATTATTTTTGTGGCAGGTATCACTTTGAGCAAAATTCTTCTACATGTTCCACATTACCTTCAGCTTTTCCCAGCAGCTAAAGATTTGTGGAGCTCAGTCAGGCTCTGCTGAATCAGAAGTTGTTGAGAAATAAATGGCTGCTTAAGTTTTGTAGTACTGCATCACTTCAATACTGCTTTCTATTTTAAAAATATGCCACTATATTTTAAAAGACAATAGATACTTATGATGATAGAACTTAAGAATGAAAAAAATGTCGGAGGTGAACATGCCTTTTCTTCACTTGAACTTTCATGGGTTTCATATGTTAAGAACAGTAACTTTTATATCTCAGTAGCATGAATTAGCTAAATATTAAAAAGTTCTAGATCTAGACTGTGAAAATTAACAGATTCTGGGCATAAAGCATGTCAAAAAGAAAATGAAAATAAACACCAGGTAGGGTGAAAAGGGGAAATGTTTTAGTTGTTTCGGAATGTGTGTTTAATTCATTGTTTCTTTTCCCAGGCTCTCAAATCGTTTTACTAAGGCCAGATACAAGCTTAATGCTTGTTGAGGTAGACTGTAATTAAATCTATCCAGGAGACTGTGCCTTGTGGAAATGACGTTTGTTCATAGCCAGACTTCTCCATGCTTCTTTTTGAAGTGCTTTCTGTCCTGATGTTTACTATGTCCCCATTATTACAGCATTTTAAATTCTCTGCAGATTTACTGAGGGACATAGAAAGGCACGGTGTTCTCAGTGTGCAGGGGGAGAGCAGAGGCCAAAAAGAGCAGTCTCTGCCAAAATACAGAATTAAATAGTATTGTTCTTCTCACTAACAACTCTTGACTTGTATTTGTTAATCTGAACAATTCTCAGTGAAAGGTCTGTAGAAGTTAATAAATTGAAGAAAGTTAGAAAGTTTGGGGGGGGTTGGTTTGGTTTTTGGGTTTTTTTTCGAATATGGAAAAACCCATGGAATATTTTGGTGTTAAATACAATATAGTGCACTTCCACTGCTCACTAAAATTAAATTTGTTTTGACGTACTGAAGTAGGATAAAATATGAACCTAACTGGGAGCATGCCATCATCTAGTCTCCTAAGTAACACTTAAGCATAAAAATACATATGTGATTAAAGCCTGACAGCATTCTCTTCAAGCAAAGAGAATCAGCTGGAAAGCTTCAGAAACCCCCACAGGCTGCTCTGCTCCAGTGGCAGGAGCTCTTGATAGTGCCTAATGAGCTTTTAATGTTGTTGTTCGATTGCATTTTCCTCAAACAAAAACTCTTATTTTAAGTCTTCAGGTTCACATTTTAAAATGGTTAGTGGTTATCCAAAAGATAACTGCTATTAGAAAAATAAGTTGATCTCTCAACAAAATGTTTGCAGTGTGCTTGCAGGCTTTTACAAGGAACCAGAGTTTGGGTTTTGCAGTTCTGAGTTCTACCTGAATCTCCTATTGCTTTGGCTTGTCTAGCCATTTGATAGCTTTGAAATGAAAGTGCTTTATAGGTATTAATTAAAAGGAACTTGCATCATTTAATATGCTCCGCTTGGATGAGGCCGCGGTAATGATAGTTACAGACCTCATAATGCAAACACAAGAGTGCTTATCAGTTGTCAGTAGACCATTGATAAATATGCCTGGGAATAAGTGTTGCAAGTATTGCTTCACAAACAGATTATCCAGAGTCATTCCACTGGTCTGTCAGTCTCATGACCCAGAAATCTATATGTACAAGACACATATTCTCAGTGAGGCAGAAGAAGAAAAGAGAAAAGTTTGGCCAGTTTCTCCCTTTGTGCAACATCGGAGGCATTTCTCTTGCTGGCTGTGGGCTGACCAGGCTGCAAGCAGATTAGTTATGTTTGTGAACTTCAAGCAATAAAAGAGATTTGTAATAGTCTTCTTTATTGATTTCCTTATTTATATGGCTACTCAGTGTGAATATTCTAGGAAAGGGCATGTGGAAATTAGTTGTATTCAATACTTACTGATTAATATTTAAAAATTTCTTTTTCATGGTGACTGATACACTCCCTGTACAGTGTTCCTTTACCTTTGCCAAGTGCTCATAGATATGGTTTGATATTTCTGTGTAAATAGGATACAATGCCTACTTCTGTTTCTTCCCGATTACTCATAGTGTAATTTTCCAGGCAATCTGATTATATCTTCTGGTACCAGTAATATATTTTGATTTAGAGAAGTTTCTGAATGAATTCTGTGACTCTTTGGAGCATGAAAATCTGTAAAAGTCCTGCCTGAATCCCATTATACTATGGGACTTTGCAAATCAAAGTGCTGAGTTTTCATTTGAATTCATTGAATTTGAAAAGTGCATTCATTTGAAATATGGATGGTTTTTAATTCTATTTTGAAATTTGTTTTGTCAGTCATAAGGTACGTTATTCTTGCAGGAGTTTGCTCTTCTGGTCTGACTGTACTATCTCAGATCAACCTAATCACTTTGTAATGCAACGGTGTAAAGAAAACATAGCACAGGTTACTCACTGAAGAAAGGTTTCAACATCATTTAGTGTGGGGACTCCCTGTGATCTTAACTGTGTCTTTTCCGGGGCATGAAGGTTTGATCCTTAGGGCATTCCAGATTTCTCTAGCACGAATAATGATCAAACAGATTTTGTCCATTACCGTTTGGCCTGGAAAGCACCTTCCTTTCTGTCATTAAACAATACAGCTGTTGCCTCAAAGAGAGAAATCAACCTTTGCTGGCCCAGGGACTTCAGGTACCTCATGTGTACAAGCTAAAACCCATTATCTTACCTATTCAGCAAGTCTGAAAGGACTTCCTAGCTCTAGAAGAGGCATTTCAGTACTTTACTAAATATTGTTTTTTAAGGCTTTCTCTGCCTCAGAAACTTCACACTAGCAAAACCAAGAATTACCATGTAATGATCCACTTTAATTTCAGTTGTTCCTCTGTCTGAAGGTTGGATGTTGTCCTAACAAAAAAGGTCATAGAGCAGGCTACCAAAGTGCTTAATGTATTAAATGTCCCCAAAAATGAATAAATTCTAAACACTGTGGTGTAGACAAAGTATTATAAATTAGTATTTTCTTGTATTTGATTCAGTACTTGTATTTGACTCAGTTTTGTTCAGCACAGAGGAAGAATGACAACTATTATCAACAGGAAGAAAAACCAATCCAGTTTTGGTGGAATGTGTGTTAGGTTTTATTTCACTGGTAATTATTTTGTAATCAAAAAGAAAGGGTAGCAATTTGATGTGAATTTTGGGATATACACTGGTTTGGGTTTTAAAATCCATCCTCATCTGAAAATTTTGTAAATTCCCCGGGGGAGGAACATGCAAAGCTGCTACAGTAGGCTCATGAATCACTCCACTTTCATCAGGGGAAAGACCTGTCATCAACATTCAAAGTATACTCTTCTCTAATTGGTTTTGCTATAGCATTGCTCTGTTCAAGCAGATTGAATCTGTGTTCCTACGCCTGAAGAGTGAAATAAATGCCACAAGAAACAGAACTAATACTTGCTACAGTAGTTATAGCTTGTAGAGGAACTATTTTAAACTGTGATGGAGTAATCTGGCCTCAGTTAATGGTCTGAGCCACAGCAGTGTAGGTTGGTGGGGGTTTTTTTTAAATTGTGCTTTGCCCCAGACCTATAAATACGTGTGGAGGAAGGAGGATTTTCCTCACAGAGAGGGTGAAATGGATATGAGTAGTAGGAGAAATTCTATCATATAAAACATGAACAAAATTTAAAATCTGGCTCTTAATCACTTTGTTTAATTGCCTCTTTGTGCCTGAATTCCCTATTTAAAAAGAGGAGTCAATGATACTTGCACTTTTTTAATTAACTCCTTGGTCATATGCAGACAAAAAGCTCCATGTGGGAGTGGAATCACTGAATAAGGGGATTTTTGTGTGAGACTGGGATGTTGACTGGTTGCAGTGACTCACTCACTAAAATTATTCTGGTAGAGGATTTTTGTTTCTGTAAACTGAATGTACATACTTGATATGTACGTAGAAAAAATTTAAATGGACAAAGAGAACACCACTTGTACAGCACTTAAATCTACAGTGTTCAAGTCTCAAGATTATACTGAGTCAGATCTTGTTTTCTCCCTTATAAAAACAATATTTCAAATAGTATGGTTTTTTTTCCTAGGAACAGCCCAAGGGAAGTCGCACACTTCTTTGCGATTAATGTGACAGATGAATTTGGGTAAAGCTATTATATTTTCCTCCTTGTGACTTCCTGAATCCCTTTGTGACATTGCTAAAGAGATATATGTTCCTCCTCCCTTTCTTAGTCTCACTAAATATATGCTTGTGGCTTAGAATAATGTGAATTTTTCGGTCTTCCCACTCCATTGACCCAATTTAGTTCCTGTGATTTTTTTTTTTTTTTTTTTTTTTTTTTTTTTTTTTTTTTTTTTTTTTTTTGGTGAAACATGGTCTGTGGACTAATCCTCTGCAGAAGCTGTTCAATAAAAGTTATGTTAGCTTGACAATGGAAACAGGTTGGGTTTTTTTCTCAAGAGAAAAGAGACCTAACATTCTAAAAAAAATCTTAAGAAAAAGATATGGTGGTGTTTCTGTCACAGAGCATCTTTCTAAGCATTGATTCTTCTGCTTCCATTCTAAGTCACTGGGGGAGCTGCTCTGTTCCATGGAATTAAATTTATCGTCTTTGGACTACACCTGAAGTAACTGCTGAGAATTTACTTGGTGTTTAGTTTGCATTGCTGTTGTGTTTAGGAGCCTTGATTCTGGTAGATAATGTACAGGGATAATATATGAGGTCAGAGAACAGGTACAGAAGTAAACATCACTCCTCGGATGTAGGTCTGGCAGCTCTGCTACCAAGTTATTTGTGCGTAAAATGAGAATTGCCGACCAGTTCAGTACAGCTCTAAACTGTCAGACTGTGCTTTGAGACTCTGTACTTTAATGGTATTTTGGAAATGTCAGGAGTGCTGCTCTTCAGGTACTTCTCATACCTCTGTGTACCTCAACAAAATGGCAAGTCACATATTTACACAATGGAATAAAAGTTTTGTTTTGATTCTGACTGTAACTGACCTAGATTTGGGTTTGCCTGTTTGGTTTTGTTTGGTAGATCTGTTGGTCTTGGGGTTTTATTGGTCTGGATAACAGGAAAAAAAATAGCTCGCACACTGTTAACATGGGCAGTATTGCTGTTTATCATTAAGGTAGCCTAAAACACATTTCTTTAATGTTGCATGTGTTCAAAATCTGTTTGCAATACATGCTAGTTGAGGCTTTGTGTGATTAGTATTTCTGTTGTAATCTTCAGGTGTCATGTAATAAGCGCCCAAATAATATCGTACTACCTGTATATCCTCCTATCCATGAACGTTTTGTTAAAAGGATCTGTGGTGTTCAAATTCAGATAAAGGCAGGTAAAAGCACAATAGTGATGCAGATCAATAATCCTTACAGTTCAATTCTTGATTAATCCTTAGATTTCCATCCCTAATATGCTTTAAATAATGTAATAGTATTACAGTGAATGCAGTAGGTGAACACTGCAAGAGGCCTTTGCCTATATTGCTGTGCAAAACAAGATGAGATCTGGGTTTAGTGGGCTTGTTATGCATGCCAGGCTCTGTAACCCTCAGCCTACTCCTACTGCCTTGCACCTGGTGATGACCTCTGTGTTTCAAAGAAATGTCATTTATAGAAAATTAACCACAGTAGGATTCTACGAAAATGGTTGTAACCATTAAAAAAATGGAGGGAGAGGAAAACTTTGGACTTCTAGCATTTATATTTGTTGTTTAGACCTTTCTTGAAAATTCCCTTATTTGATTGGCAGTCTGCAGACAACAGCATGTTTTTTATTTCATACCTATGAGTTCAGCCTGATTTCTGAGCAATATTTTAAAAGCAGGCTTTCCAATGCCATTCACCACTGCTGAGGAAAATGTGACTTTTATCTTCAGTTCTTACAGTCATGTCGCTTGTCCTCCCTGCCACCTATACTGGAGGAAGGAAAGGAGAGCAAGAACTCTGAGTACTAGTAGTTTGTAGATAGCTTTTGAGCTGTGCAGGTATTAGTTTTATCTCATAGGTAGCTTCTTACTCAATTTAAAGTCCTGTTGGCAGTTTTAAAATGTTATCAGCAGTGCTGTATATTTGAATTTCATTTGCAGCACAGCATCTGCTTGGTTAATAAAATGTTAAATAACATTTATTCACTGCAAGGAAAATATGGAATTGAGCTATTGTCATCCAATAACACTCGGTGCAGCATTTTTCAAGCAAATTATGTTTGAGTGCTTTAGAAGTACATAATACTGAAAGGGTAAAGAGGCATTTTCAGTAAACAGCAAGGAGAAAGGATATTCTCTTTTTACAGAAATGAGGTAGATGAAAGAGATTACAGAAAGTGTGTGTGTTTGTGTTTGAACTAGACTGACAGGATGCAGTATGCTTTCCTATATATCACAAGATAAGTAAAAAAGATAGATAACAGAACCTGGGACAAAACAAAACGAGTGATTTTGAGTAGAACCAAATCTGCACTGCTGTTCCAGTGTTTCTGGCCAGAAATAAAACTTGTTCTTGACTGAAAAGAAAGGTTTTGGAATATTTTAAATTAACACATCTTTTTATTGCCTTGCAGAGTGTTCCTGTGTAGCACTTGATTAGCTACTATGAGCTTGCTATATAGTGATAACATTTGTGGAGCCCGAGACGTGGAAAGCGGCTGCTGCGCAGCCATGGCCAGTGCCTGCAGCGCTGGAACCAAAGAGGACAGCGTGAGCGTCAGCAGTGGGACTGGAAACCCCTCGAGCTCTTTCACAGAGGAAACACAAGGATACGATGTGGAGTTTGATCCACCCTTGGAAAGTAAATATGAGTGTCCAATCTGTTTGATGGCTCTTCGGGAAGCAGTGCAGACACCATGTGGACACCGTTTCTGTAAAGGCTGCATTGTCAAATCAATAAGGTAAAGGAAAATTGATGGAAGTTGCTTTTAGGAAGAAAATCACTTACCAGTGCAGAGCAGTTTAAGGGTGATATAAACCAAATAGAACTGCTTAAGGTGCATTACTAGTAAGGGCTAATAGAACTCTTGGAATTTACAGTTCATTAAAGATGCTTTCTAATAAACACCATGTATGGCCAAAATGTTGTGAGTTTGGAGGTTGCATGAGCTTTAGATATTTTGATAATCATGCAAATTTACCCAGGTTATGAATCTAAAACTTTGAATGAGTAAACATTAAATAATAATTTTTTAAAAGTAGCCAAATCCTCCAAATAAATTCCATGTTCGGCCCAGGATTATAAAACCTGTCTTTTCGCTATTATTTTTTCCATTGATAACTACAGGCGGTGTGGTTTCTTGGTGCTGATACAACAATTCCTGCTTTCAGTTCTTCACTTGAAATCAGCTGCTTCCTTGTTGAGCTGAAAGAGAGAATGTGGTGAGGGAACAGCGTCAAAAAAAAAATGTTGAGAAAGAAAACTAGGTGGCATATGGGGAAGTGGGAATGAGATATGAAGGCAAGAACAGGCCAGGCTCATAAAAATGAATGATTGAAAGAGCAAAGAAGGGCAGAAAGTACACTGGTAGAGTGTACTTCCCTCAAACCTGGAATACAGTCATCAGTGTCCCACACGTGTCAGGGAGTATTGGACCACGTTGATAGAAGGCTAGATATTATGCTGTAAGGTTTTTTTCCTTCTTGGCATAAGCCTGATTTTTCTCTTATCAGTTGCTTGTGCAACTCAAATACCACAGTAGTTTGTTAGGAATCTAAATATTTAATTGTGTGACCCACATATAGAATTGGTTAATTTCCAACCTTACTTTGAGTGCCTTTGTGTAGAGATCATCAAACTGTCTTCAGTGTTACCATACAACGTTGTTTTTCCCAAGCGTTTATTTTTAGCATGCAAAATGGACTGTGCTTTTTTAATTGGTTTTCCATACCATTTATCCATAGTTCTATTTCATTTCTTTCTCTCCACGGTCCATCATTTGTAGCTCACTAAATGAATAGTATGCTGGCAACAATGTTCACTAAAAACAGTAATTCTGTGGGTTTTGCAGGCTTCTCTCTAGCTTCTGTCGCATCTGATGCTGCTGTATTTCTGCGTGGCATCCCTTTTAGATTTAGGAGGGCAATGTTGGAGTATGAAGACAATTTTGCATTCCCTACTTATGATAGCAAAAGAGCAGGCTATCTGCCTTTCTAGCAAGCCCAGAAATTTATTGTTTGTCTTCACAGCACAGTTCTCATTAACATCAGTTTCAGCAGGATTTCTGAGAAATAGATGCGAACTCTCATCCAGAAAATGCAGAATACCACCAGTGTTCACCCATGAAAAGTGACTCACCTGTGGATTCTGCAGAGGAAGCTGAGAGATATTCGGTTCTCCACAAAGCATACCATGAGATCACCCTGCTCCCTTAGTCCTTTACCTTGTTCACTGTGTTCCTACTTATGCAAGAAAAGTACATCAGGCCTTACTCAACTGTATCACTCGAAGGTAGTCACATCACCCAGGTGCATGGAACAAGGCAAAAACACCCCAACCTGAACCTGTCAGCTTTGGCTGAAATCCAGTTCCCTTGGCACAAGCAGTTGGCTTCACTTTCTGCCCTTTGTTTTGCACATTCTGACCTAAATTCTTTCAAGCGGTCAGTGTACATGATATCATGCATGCTTGTAAGCCCTGAATTAGATGTTTGTACTAATAAACGCCATTGCATTTTGGAATTCCTTACTTGCTCTCTCTGAGCTTCCTCTATTTGTTGGCAGTGGCAGTTTTTATACTCTTCTTTAACTTGGATATTTCTGGAAGAAAGAAATCTTTAAACCTTCATCTTAAATCTTTATATGGGAGTACAATGTCTATAAACCCTGAAGGTGAATTAGTCAGTACATAAGTATACTGAGCTTTAGACATGTCTACTCACCAATCACTTCAAAGACAACAGAATTCCTAGGTTAAAAACTGAGGGGAAAATGACTAAACTTAGAATTATCAAAAATAGGTGTCTCAATTCCAGTCTTTCAGATCCCTAACAATTAAGGCGATCTTGTTTTCTAATCCTTCTGCTGATGGTCATTGGTTAGACTTTACCACAGGACTACATGAGGAACTGCAGTGAACCCATGCTCAGAAAACATCTCATAGCAGGTAGAGAAACTTCCTTCTTAAACCTCAAGCATGGGAAATGGTTTCTCTTCCTTTTTAAATTAACAGAGCATTTTCTTTGCTCAGAGTTTTAGGTCTGCAAACAGTTTCAATGACCAGAAGCTTTTGCTGCATTTACACCCTTTCCCTATTTTACTTCATTTCTATAGATAGTGTTGACTGTTTCAGTGAATACTAAACACAGGTGGAAAGAATCTTTCATCTTGGAGACCACAGATCATCACTGTGATATTTCAGATGTTTCACTGATAGTAAACGTTTACCCTCATTCCCAACTGTAATCTGTATTTGGAGTGCAGTTTGAGTGAATGCTTGTGAAAGCAGATCAGACAATTTACAGTGCCAGACCTCTCTGAATCCCTGAAGGGCTGAATTGCATGCTTAATTGGGATTCATGGATCAAGCTATTGTTTTGGAGTATGTAGTGTCTACAGTACAGTATTGATTTGGAGTATGTAATGTCTGCAGTACCGTATTGACTGATGTTATTGAGAAGCTTCTGCAGAACTAAAATGAAAATGGAAAGTGATTTTTACGTTCTTCAAGTACTGTGTTTTTCATTAAGTGATTGTCACAGCCTTTATTTGATCAGGAAAAAATTGCTCCTGTTTGTTCCTCATTTCCCCACTGTGTAGCTCAAGTGATCACAGAGATTAAGGTGTTTAAATGATAGAGGACGGACAAGCAGTTTTTAATTAATTGCTCGTTGTGACTTGCACAAACTATTGTAGTTGTCCATGTTGAAGAAGCTGTGGCTGCAACTAGAAAGATTTTTTTTAAAAAAGCTTTTAAGGACTGGTGTCTTAAATCTTACAATGTGAGGGACGTTGATGGATTTGATCACAGTAAATGTTCGCCTCTCAAAGTCTTGGCATCTTTAAATAAAGGTGGCCGAAGTGCTTTGAATCATGGTAGTGAAGAAGCTTCTCTACTGAAGTAACTACAAATAATAGTTTACAAATGTTACTGTCTGCAAAGTACTTGATTAGAAATTTTAGAACTAAGCTCAGATGCAGTAGCTAATTAAATTTCACACTAGTCTTTCTTCTCCTATATCTTAGGTCAAAGCTGACTTAGGGCTTGTACTAGAGCTCATCAAATATCAGAACCTGTTTATCGAAAAAGCAGAATTATGAGCTGACAAGGGGCAGGAGAGAAAGCTTTGGCTGCCAGCAGTTCATCAGACAGCCAGCGTGGCTGCTGCTAACGTGTATGCCACCTGCCTTCAGCATCTAGGCTGAACAGCTCAGTTGTGAAAATCACAGCAGGCTTTTTCTTCAAACGAAATTTTTCTGGCTTGACTCTTCATACCTGTATTTTAATTTCAAGGGCAATTACAGGAATATTCATTGTACTTTGTAGCAGATGATTATTGTTTCACAGGTACTGTTGTGGGTGGCACAGTCCAAGGTGATAATTCCAGTGTAGGAAAGCCTCCACTGTAATGCAGATTAGAACTGAGGTGCATAAACTCAATTCTGTGATAGGAGATGTATAGCAATAGCTTTGTCTGTAGTTGGATCTAAGCAGCCTGTTTAGTATACTACAGCAAGTTGCTGCCCTTTCCATTGGAAAATTGCCATTGATTCTTATTTTACCCTTTGTCTGCTGGTTATTTAAACTGGGGAATCTAGTAGTCATTATTTAAAATTAATCTGTTGTTTGCTGTTGTTACACATAATTAGTTTTTCTGTGTAGAAATAAGGCTGCTGGCTTATCAGCAGGCCTGCTGAACTATCATTATACTTCACTGAGCGGGGTATTTATAACCAAGTTATACCTGTGAAAACTGATTTCCTTTAGATTGCCTGCAAGCGAGGGAACGTTTCTGGGTTGCGACAAAGATTAGCAACTGATCATAGCTCAGGGAGCTATGAAACAAAATGGCACGCTAAATATTTTCTTTTTTCCACTTGTTTAGAAGTATGACTATCAGACTTGTGACAAGCTAGCTCTTGCAAGCAAAACCTAGGAAAGGAAGTTCCTTGTCTCTTTTTGAAGTCTCAACTTTACCCTCGCTTCCTCTAGCAATGTGGCTGATGGAGTTGCTGAGCAATTATTTCCTTTTCCAACAAAGAACACAAATTCCCTCCTGGTCTCCATAGCCCACTAGGTTCTACTTCCCCTCATGCTTGCAAGCACTGACAATGATCAGGCCTTTGATCTTTGCACCACAAGGGCGCTCTGACATTTTTCCACCCCATGTATTTTTCCATTTTATTACTGTTTCCATTAGCACTTCAGCTCAGAAGCTTTGATCCCTCATGCCTTTAATTCTATTACTTAATTATGAATAGGTGTATTGACCTACTGCTTCCAGAAGTGAGCTGATACTGGATAATTTTTTAAAGGAAAATTTGGTAGAAGTGATCTCTTTTTAACTTAATTTCTAATGATTCTTGTGTTTAAATGCAGGTAGACAGAACCTGACAAAGTGGAACAGGCTATCCGTTCTCTAGTGCAAGTTGCATACACCAGTGTTCCACCATCAGACTTCAAACTTGCACCAGTTAGCGCTGACTTCTGGTCTGTTTGCTGTTAAAATAGCTTCAGATACAACACCTTGTTCCAAATCCAGTGTTGTGTGTGGAGTTTTTTCACCCTTCTTTGTTTAAATGAACAGATTGAAGAATGACCAACTGATCAAATGATTGGTTGTACAACAAAAGCAGGGAAATGAGCTATATGAAAAATAATGCCAAGCAAGTTAAGATAAACTGGAAAAAAAGACATCTTTGCTTTTTCTCTCAGCTATGATCACCTTGACTGTTTATAAAGTGAGAAAGAAAGGAGATAAGGTCTAAGAATCTTTAGAGGATTGTTTTGAAATAGTATGTGAAATATTCTTTGATATTTGAGCTGTGTGAGGTACTTACAAAAACAGGACCATAAGTTCTTAGTTTCTTTACATCCTCCTCAAGTTTATTACCAGAGTATCTATCATAGCAGTTGTCCAGATAAAAACTATTGAGTTAGAAAAATGCTGTGATCCCACTCATGCCTCTTCAGTGAAACTTGGTATTTCAGTTTCTCTGATGTGCAGTGCATACTTCCTGGTAATTGCCACAGAAATGCCATTGTTTACAAAGACTTTCTTAGTGTGTTATAATTTGGCCACTAATGTCTTGCCGGTGTAAAACTATTTTAAATGAAGGGCAAAGGAAATTTGGACACTCTTTTTCCTTTCTTTTCTGTGTTGTAGAGATGCAGGTCACAAATGTCCAGTAGATAACGAAATTCTGCTCGAAAATCAACTTTTCCCCGACAACTTCGCTAAACGAGAAATCCTTTCATTAATGGTTAAGTGTCCCAACAAGGGCTGCAGTATGAAGATGGAGCTGAGGCATTTAGAGGTGAGAATTAATTTTGAAAATATGGAAAATACTGTTTTCATGGACAAATAAAATTTTTTTTAAAAAATTTTGCATAGTCACACCTGATACGTGTTTATGCTGATTTAGTGCATTGTTCACTCAAGACTAGAGCTACGCATATTCTTTTTTTGATGAGTCTTTAATTGTAATTAGGTGATTCTCAAGTGAACATTGTCGTGTGTGAAAATTGTACTAATGCAGCTTTCTGTTTAGGATTTCTCACTTTGTCTTTTGACCAGCTGTATCTGTACTTCACACAAGTTCCCTAAAATCAGTTTAATATTCCCTCAAAGCAGGGCATGGATTGGACATTTGATATATATCCATATTGGATATGGATTATTAGTTGAAAATAATATACAAAGTTAAAAGGATAAACAACTGAATTTTTACATAAGAGCACTCTTAAAGCTCTGAATATATTAAGTCCTGATCTTAGTAATGGGACAAGAGGCCATTGGCAAAGGCAGGATAAGTGTATAAGGATTTCCTTGCGTGAAGGAAAGACTGCAAGTTGTTTCTCTTGTACTGTGCTTTATTTTGAAAACAGATGAGATGATAGTACCTGTTTGTAGTATCAAATGCCTCTTTTGTCCTTGTTCAGGACCACCAGTTGCAGTGTGATTTTTCCACTGTGGACTGCCCGCAATGCCAAGGAGCCATCCAGAAGAACCATCTGAAAGAGCACATGACCCAGGAGTGTCTGAGGCGTCAAGTTTGTTGTCCAAACTGTGCCACATCTATGGCCTATGAAGATAAAGAGGTACTTAGCAGGAGTGTCAGTTTTTCAACCTTCATTCACACGGGTTTGCTTGTAAATGGAACATCATTTCCTTTTAAAAGGAAAAAAAAAAAGGGGGGGGCTTGGTCTAGAAGAGTTCTTTGTGTTGCACAGGTGAGAAGCTACAAACTCAGGACATTAGAACGGGCAAACACTGGGGAGAGGATTGTGCTTAAACACAAACTTCTTGGGAACCTTGTGGTGTGAAAAGACGGTTGATTATCTGGCCTTACCATCAGAGAGTTCAGTATCTAGTGCCAGAGTAACACACAAAGCAATATTTACATTTACAGTTCCTATGCCTGGCAGAAAGGATTTGTCAGGAGATGTGTCTTTTGGGGATATCTGGTAACACACAAGGCCAAGATCATTTCTGAATTCTTCTCCTGGCTCCACATTTTTAACTTGCGTGATGCTGAAGATAGTCCTTTCCTTTTTGAGCTTCCATTGCTTTATCCATATATGGCTGTGTTTCATCTCAAGGGCTGTTGATTTTATGATGTATTGTAAATTGTCAAACAAAAATACCTCATCTAGTCTAAAAATAGCAAAAACCCCTTTAATATAGTTCCACTACAATTGAACATGAATTTCAGAAACTTTTGGATAAATTCAGGCTCCTTTGGAGCATAAGAGCTTTAGGAAATAATATACCTGCAGCTTTATGAATCTCTTGTATTAGCCCAGGATAACAGTATTATGCAGCTTTATGAATCTCTTGTATTAGCCCAGGATAACAGTATTATGCAGCTTTATGAATCTCTTGTATTAGCCCAGGATAACAGGGGATTGTCTTTGGTTCACAGTTGCATAAAGCTAAGTGCAAAACTTGAAATGTAAATAAAAATTGAGTGCCTTATCTGAGGTGATTAACACTGTTTTAATTTGTGAAACTTTATTGATTCTTTCTTCTCTTCTGTTCGATAACTAAGCTTCATGACCAAACTTGCCCGCTCGCCAATGTATTTTGTGAATATTGCAACACAGTGCTCATCAGAGAGCAGGTAAGAGACTGCCTTTTGCTGTGTTTAATCTGGGTCAGACATTTTGTATTTACATTGCTTCTTTTATCTGAAATCAAACTTAAAGGAAACAGCTTGTCTACTAGCTAAAAAATATCTACCCATCTCTTTCTGAAAATGTTTGTGTCCAGTGAAGGTGTGCTACTCTTTTAGATGCTGCTCCAGCTTGCAATTGCAGTCTGGTAAATCTCTAGGATTTTTGGCTGCAAATCACATTGTTTTTGTTCTTGAAGGGAGGTTAAAAAATACCAAGCAGCTGCCAGGGGTTATGGCTGACATTAGAAGACAAGGCTTTGATTTGGGCGGAGAGGGAGAGTATTTATAACTGAAAATCCACTGTTGGAAAGTAGCTATAAATAATTCACTCTCAAACTGTAGATGCTGGACGAAATTCTGCGCCTCCATTACTATTGTAATAGCCATTATTGTTTCTTCTCTTCAATAATAACTTAATTGACAGGAAAATTGTAACTGTGATCTACCTTGAGTGTAGGCTAGAAACAAAAGGCATTTGGTCGAGCGGGAAAACCCGAATGTTTTCTGATGCATAATGTAAGAACAAAGGCAATGAGTACATTCAAGGAGGATGTAGAATTTTTATCATGAGCTAACATTTTTGTTCAAAGCTTCCATATTTCTTTGAGAAATTATATAGGTATAAACTAAACTGACTTCAGGTACCTATTCAGAGTTTTATAACATTTAGGGTGTTCTAAAAGAATACTCTCAATGGAAAAATTAATTTCAAATCTGATTTGTTTTAGATGCCTAACCATTATGACAATGATTGCCCTACTGCCCCAGTGCCATGTTTTTACAGTGCCTTTGGGTGTCCTGAAAAGGTAAGCCTTTTATTAGAATCATGCATTGCAGACCTTCTGTGTGTGTTTGTTGGGTTTTTTAATGTGTTTTCCTATTGTCTCATTCACCAGCCAAAATCCTCAGTGATGTGTGGGGTTTTTTGTTTTGAGGTGTCTTCATTCTAAAACACTACATGTTGATACATAGCCTTTCAAAGGCCCTTTTAAAATTTAAAAAATTCTGTGTGTGATTTGCTTGATGAACTTGCTTTTATTAATCCATGAGTGTTTCTCAGCTTTCATGTTAGCAAAGTAGCTTCTAGCATTTCTTCCAAAGTTGTGACCAAATACAGTTATGGCTCTTAAGAGTTCAATGAAGAAAACCTGACAGTGCTTTACATTTGATTAAATTCTAAAATTATTTAATTTGGATAGTCTTATTTCTAGTTGTTTAACACCTCTTTGTAAAAATTGATCTTTTCCCTTCATTTCTGTATCAGTTTTCATGTGCCTTTGTATTTGGTACTGTGGAGCATTTTAGCAAATCAATGAAGAGAGTACAGTACTGATTTAGAACACAGAAAAAATACTAAATGTATGTTTATCACTAACACTTTTTCACCGTGTCAGTATTTTGAGTTAAACAGTATTTTCCCACTGGTATTTTTTCATTTGTCATAACAGTGATCTTAAGTTTGGAACCCTCCATTGGTAGAGTGCTACTTTGTCACATCACCCCCACAGTTTGTCTCACATAACAGAAGCAAGTAGTTGTTTGATTTTTCTTCAGAGCCACATTTAAGATGTGGTTGCAAGTAATGTTTGATGTGTTCCTAATGCCACATCTCTTAAATTTTAGATGCAGAGGAATGAACTGGCACGACATATGCAGGAATTCACTCAGGTTCACATGAGAATGATGGCTCAGAGTTTTCAAAATATCAGTGTTACTGCTACCAATCCTGTACCCTTCATCAATGGCCTACCCTTTGAGCCTGCCCTCTTCTCACCCGTGTCACATGCCGCATATGATTGTAATCCAGAGGTTCAAAACTTCAAAGAAACTATTCAGCAGTTGGAAGGTCGTCTAGTAAGACAAGATCACCAAATCAGAGAACTTATTGCTAAAATGGAGACTCAGAACAGCCACATGGCAGAACTCAAACGTACCATCCGAAGTCTGGAGGGCAAGATTGTTGAAATGGAAGCACAGCAGTGTAATGGTATTTATATCTGGAAGATTGAGAACTTCAGTGGACTTCAGAAAGCCCAGGAGGAAGAGAGGCCTGTTGTGATGCACAGTCCTGGCTTCTACACTGGGAAGCCTGGCTACAAGCTGTGCTTGCGCCTGCATATCCAGTTACCAAATGCTCAGCGTTGTGCTAATTTTATCTCTCTATTTGTCCACACTATGCAAGGAGAATATGACAGCCATCTGCCGTGGCCTTTCCAAGGCACTATACGACTTTCTATTTTGGATCAATCAGAAGGCCCCGAGAGGCAAAATCATGAGGAAGTAATGGAAGCCAAGCCAGAGTTACTAGCCTTCCAGAGACCCACAATTCACCGCAATCCAAAAGGGTTTGGTTACGTGACTTTCATGCACCTTCAGACCTTGAAACAAAGAACCTTCATAAAGGATGATACCCTTCTGGTGCGCTGTGAAGTTCTAACACGTCTAGATTTAAACAGTCTCCGCAGGGAGGGATTTCAGGCTCGCAGTACTGATGGACCTATGTAAGTCTTAACAAGAGGAATGGAGCAGTGCACTAGTCGTGTTCCTCCACCACAGACTACAAGCACATCTCATCATCCTTATAGGCTGTGTTTGTGACAGGTCATAGTTGCCAACACAGTTGATCTTCGCCTGCACAGAACTTTGTTGTTGCTGGTATAGATTTTTTTCTCGTACAAGGTCACGTGTTTGAACACGTGTTTGAAACCGTGTGTTTGGTATGGTTCTCTATTAAAGTAATAAGCTACTCCTGTAGCAAGCTAAATAAATGAAGTGGTGTTGATCAAAATTTAACTGCCTACAGGAAAATCCTATCAAAGTACCTGTACATCTCAGTTTGGTAAAACTTAAGTCATGTCAGAAGTAAATCTTTTCGCCTCAGCGCCTTGGAATAGATACTGTAGCAGGGAAGTAGGTAAATTAATAAAGATGAGCATTTGTTTATCTGTTTGTTTTTCACAGAGCTTGGGAAGGTTGAGACAGTTCCTGTACTGAGTTATCGATAATTTTGAATTTGCTATGCTTCTTTTGAAATCTGAAGTCAGGTAAAGACTTTGCTCACATGCCCTAGGGTTGAGGTATGCATTGACCCTTCTCTCCTGCAGAGATAGCTTCAGGAAGTTGCACGTCGATGTAGAGTTGATACTAGTACTTCTGAAAAAGATGTGGTAGCGTTGTGGAGAAGGCTAAATGACTCAACTGAGTTCACTGAAGAAATATTTCTAATGTGATCTGAAAGTGCCCCTAATTCTCTTTATTTTGATAAATCTTTTGGTGTGTGCATGCTCCGGGCCCAGAATGTCAGTCACCATCACCAGAGAGATAAAAATGTAGCGTTTGAACGAGATACCTGTGTATTGGTGGGATCTCCTCCTAGTGCTGGACAGTTTTCAGGTTGTGAGTGGATATATGAGCAAAGGTATGTACTAGCTAGATAGCGTGACGCAGAATTTGTGTTACTGTTGTTGAAACCTGAATTTGTACCAAAGCTGAACTTGTGACCTGCATCTGTTGGAGTGATCTCTTGGTGTTAGGGGTGACGCATGACCTGTGTCATCTCCTGTGAGTTGTCAGTGGACAGCTTGGCCATGTCAGTGTCCAGCTCTCATGGGTATTTCTTGTCTCATTAGACAGCAGGAGCTGGGCTACCCTCAACACTTCAGAGGGGAAGAAAAACCTATTAATTAGTGTGAGGAAAAATTGCAATCCTGTTTGCTGTTAGGAAAAAAAAAATCTGGTTTCCATAGTTACTCATTTAAACACTAGATTCACTATGTCAAGAATTCATGAGCTTCCTAATGATGCGTGTACTATTGTTTTCTGTTTGTATGCCATATAAATGTTAGTTTTGACCAGTCAAAGCGGAGTAGTTCACTGGTGCTACAAATTTTGACATATCATGGTGCTGATAAGGTTTTGAGTGTTGTCTTTAAAAGGAAGAAAAAAGTTTTATTCACTCCATAACTTAAGTACACAGTCTGATACTGAAGGAAGAACTAATCCATACATACACACGTGTATATTATTTCTCCAAGCTAGTGAAACAATCTAAAGACTTGAGACACTGCAATTTAAAAGGTACTGAAGAATATTCCAAATCTTTGGTCTCATCAAAGAAATCCCATGGAGATCGTCAGTGGGGAAAGTGCATATGCTTAATATATACAAGGCTAATGAAAGACTACTATCCTATATTGATTTGGGAGGATACTCTGCCTGCCTGCATGAGATTAAAAGTTCTAGGACCCAACCTACCACTTTGTTCATCATATCCCGATGAGTAAAATTTATTTTGCAGATAGAGCCTGTGAGTTGAAGAGGGGTTGTGTTCAATGGAGTATTGTCACTACTGAAACTTGAACTTCCTGGCTAATGGTAAATGCAGTCAGTCGTTGACTTTAGTGTATTATTCTGCATGTTTAGAGGACAGGTTTTGCCAAGATGCTCAAAGACAAACATTCTTTTTTTTTTTTTTTTTTTTTTTTTTTT